CCACCACCACCACCACCATCCACCCACCCTCCCGCCAGCACAGCCCATTGCAACCACCTACCACCCAAGAAAACCATCGCATGGTAACACTAACTTGCTAGTACCACCCACTAGCCGAGGCTCAAACCCCATACCTCGTTTCTCCATCCTAGCTTATGAAACTTTGTGAAAGCTTAGATGTTAAAACCAATTTTTCATAAAAACAAAAAATTAAGAGGGTGTTTGGATTACATCTCAGAAAATAGTATTTGAAAACATGTTTTTTTAAAAGATTTTTAAAAAAGTGTATTTTTGTACCGCATAATTTGTTTGGTTATATAATTTAAAAATAATTCTACAAAACAAAAAATTATAAAATATGTTTGGATGTGATGGTGCTCAAAATTTACAGCCCAAATCCAATAGGTGAGATGGTGAAGTTCTAGATAGATTAAATGAATTGTAAGTTGATTCTTAATGAATAGGAAAGAAAGAAATGCAAGTGGTTCACCTTAGCCGATGAACTAAGGCTAAATTCACTATCAAGGAAGTCTCTTGCTGAGATTGTATATTACTTGATCGGAGATGTACAAGAAATTGGGGACGCGAGGTCCTTTACAAGGGGTGTGTACTTTGCTCCGTTTAGTGGTTCTCCTAGGTTTGCAAATGCTTATGGGAGGGGTAAGAGGGTCATCTCTTCTTGTTGGGTATCAATTTTCTATTTATACAAAGATCTTCATAGGGTTTTTGGTTATTCTTCTCTTGGTGTTGATCCTGTGAGTACTTTCCTCTGCACCCTACTGCTCCCTTTGCCACTGTCGCTATTGTTTACTCGGCGCTGCTATTTGTTTGACACCTTTGTTACCACGATCTTTGGTGACTATGCGCTCCACCTTCTCTACTCTGACGACTATCATAGGTGTTAGGGGTGGTTCTCTAACCCTTAGGATACGTGGTCCCCATGAGTAATCTAAGATTGACATTTGAACCAGGCTTTTAACCTTTGGGCTGCTCATCGATTGGGCTGGGCTTGAATTGTTAAATTATAAGCTTATTGCCAATGAGTCTTTTGTTTTTTTGGTTCTTTGGAAGCCGATACACCTTATTAGATTTATTTGACAAAAAGTACATAAAACAAAATATAAGTTAAAAAGACATAAATACTTATTTTAGGGTTATTTAATTTGAAATCTCTTATCTCTAATGTACATTGATTCATGCGTGTTTGTTAATACATATAATACGTATTTAATGCACCTTGATTCATGTATATTTATTAATATATATATATATATATATATACTTGTATACTTGTTTATATACACGTATATACAAATATATATAGTATACTTGTTTATATACACATATATACAAATATATATATATATACACACGAATATATATACTTATTTATACACACACACACATACACACACACACACACAGATATATACCAAAAGCCCAGAATCAAGAAATATACCAAANCACGAATATATATACTTATTTATACACACACACACATACACACACACACACACAGATATATACCAAAAGCCCAGAATCAAGAAATATACCAAAAGCTGCTTGAACGAAGATGGATCACTCTGGATATAGATGAACAGAGAAGACCAATACAGAATATCCCGCAGAAGAGGAGTAATCAAACAGGTGCCTGCCCTATTCATTTCGACTAGACTTACGTTGCTTTTGAAAATTAAATCCCTCATATTACAGCAGGGATGGGCATGTAATAATTTATGGACTGTATAAACGGACTGTGTTACTTGTTTTGAATTCCTATGCATGCGATTGTGGCTGTTGAATGTTGAAAACCAGAAAAACCCAACTGAAGAGCCATCATAAACCATTTCCAGCATACCGATCCGACTGAGAGATGAACAGGTGCCAGCCATGTTCTTCCTCGTTTGATCTTGATTTGATCCCAAATGTATAAATGGACTGTATAAAACGAATGAGACCCAACTCTTGATATCTGCTGTGTGCTTCTTTTTGAAACTTTCCATATACTGTTAATTTGTAGAGAGCCACATACTGAACTTTAATCGTAGAAAATCCCAGGAGAGGAAGTAACTTTCTTTATGAGGACTCTTAGTTGCATAGAGTCCTGAAGCATGAGTAGCTTTGTAGAAATTGGGAGGAGATCTGTAGAAGAATAGAATGAAGTATGCATATCAGTCACTCCTTCGTTTGCCAAAGAGTCCGCCACTGAGTTGCCTTCCCTATAAGTGTGCTGTAATTGAAAATCAAAATTGGAAATAAGGGAAAAAAGATTAGGAATAAGAGTCCAGAATTTCCAAGAAACCTTGCTAGCCTGACTGACCATGTCAACCAAGATCTGAGAGTCTGTTTCTATTATCAGAGGGTAGACTTGAAGACCATATTGCTTTAACAATGTAAGACCATCCATCGGGCCTCTTAGTTCAGCTTCCATATTGGTACAGATGCCATATTGGTACAGATACATGTATATATATATATATTTGTATATATGTGTATATAAACAAGTATACTATATATAATTTGTATATACGTGTATATAAACAAGTATACAAGAATATATATATATATATATGGATTTGATAAAAAGGCTCAATAAGTCCACTATCTTTTCCAAATTTGATTTAAAAAGTGGTTTTTGGCAAATACAGATCCACCCTATGGACAGGTATAAAACTGTTTTTACTACTCCCTTCGGACATTATGAATGGAATGTCATGCCCTTTGGGTTGAAAAATGCCCCAAGTGAATTCCAGAACATAATGAATGAAGTATTCAATTGTATCAGTCATTTTTCTATTGTCTATATAGATGATATACTCATCTTCTCCAGAACAATAGAAGAACACTGGAAGCACCTTTATGCTTTTCATACAATTGTTAAACAAAATGGATTAGTCTTATCTGCATCTAAGATTAAGTTATTCCAAACCTCAGTAAGGTTTTTAGGATACAATATCCAGGATTCTACTTTCACTCCTATAAGTAGAGCCATCCAATTTGCAGATAAATTCCCAGATGAAATTCTGGATAAAACCCAACTCCAAAGGTTTTTAGGTTCCCTAAACTATGTTTCTGACTTCTATCAGGATCTTAGGCAAACCATCAAACCTCTGTATGACAGGCTCAAAGGAAATCCTCCTCCTTGGACCACTGTCCATACTTCTATTATTCAGCAGGTTAAGAAGTTCATCAAAACTCTTCCCTGTCTTGGTATTCCGTCCGTTGATTCTTTCAAAATCATCCAGACTGATGCCTCCGATATTGGTTATGGTGGAATCCTCCTTCAGAGAGAATCTCCTAATTCTCCTGAACAGATTGTTCGATTCCATTCTGGTATTTGGAATACAACCCAAAAGAATTATTCCACTATTAAAAAAGAGATCTTATCTATTGTCCTGTGTATCTCTAAATTCCAGGATGATATATTGAATCAGAAGTTCCTTGTGCGGGTTGACTGTAAATCAGCCAAGGATGTATTAACCAAAGATGTCAAAAATATAGCTGCTAAGCAGATTTTTGCTCGTTGGCAATCTATTTTAAGTATTTTCGATTTTGATATAGAATATATCAAAGGCGAATATAACTATATTCCTGATTTCCTCACCAGAGAATTTTTGCAGGAACCTCATGGCGGACAGGAAACCTAGTACATCCGGAAACTCCTCCAAAAATTCCAGGGGGAAGGGAAAGGATAAAATAATACTAAAATCTGAACCTGACTTACCATTAGTTTTGTCAAACAGATTTTTATTACCAACTACTCAGCCCACAAAGCCGGTAGCCCAAACCCAACTTAAGTTGAGTCAGATAATGGCCAATGAAATAGCCAGAATGGACTCAACTAGTACCCAATCGGCCCTGGTTACCCGACCAGTGGCTATATCAACCACTGTTAACCCAAAAACCTTTACCCAAATGGCCCAACAACAACCTGTCAGGACCACTAGTGCCATGACAAACCCTTATCAGGCCACACCACCCTTTGTAGCCCCATTAGGCCCAAAGGTTGACTATGTCAAAGCCTATTCTGAGAATGTCCTAGCCATTGAACTAGCCCATTCCAAATACAAGGATCCAATAGACCTTGTACAGGCCTACCTCCCAACAGGTTGGAACTATATCCCAGTAGACTTGGAAAAACCCCATAGTTTTTACCAAGATATTCTCTACTATACCAAATCCATATTTACCAAGCCCATTTATGATAAGATAAACCCAACTAAGGTTATCTATCATAGCCTGTATATTACCAAGATTATTTCTATTGATGAATGGGGTTCTCACCCTTCTTTACTCAGAGAACTTCCCTATCACAATAGACAGTTTAATTACTATGACTACATTGAGTCATGGTCCAAAATATTACTCTACCAGAATGAGGATTTGTCCCATTCCTGGTTCCTTAATTTCCATAAAGATTTCAGAAGCCATATTCCTGCATGGTTTGCACAGTGGTGGCATCTACATGGCCCCATTGATGAAATCTTTCCAGCTGATCTTAAAGATCAGATTAATATCTTTTACTCCCTTTACCGTCCTAGTAAACAGGAGTCCCCATTACCTTTATTACTAATATTTTTATGCAGGTACAAAGTCCCGTGGATACTCAAATGGCATTGGGAAATTGTTGGATTCAACTTAACCCGACAATTCTATGTCAAATGGTGGCCCAGGTTTCAGCATAGCGACACTATCGCAATGGTGAGACGAGACTTCCCAGTAAGGGTACCAACTCCAGTAGTAGTTCCAGGCCCCTTACCACCAGCAACTCCAATGAAGGAACTGCCCGCTCATTCAAGCCAGGCTAACCTTCCTACAAAGCAAGTCCAACCAGAAGAATCTTCATCTAAAGGTTCTCTGAAAAAGTCTAGCAAGAAGAAGTCCAAGGCAAAGCTCCTCCAGAAGCTCCTTGAACAGCTTAACTCAGATAGTGAATCATCTTCTCAAAGTTCCTCCTCAGAACTCCCAGCAGGATATGCTCAGGATCCTTTTGAAGGAATTGAAGACTTTGATGTTAATGACCTCACACCTGACCTTGCACTCCCGTGAATTATTATTTACATAAAGTGGCTTCAATCACTACTTTCTTCAATAAAGAAAGAAAAGCTGACCACTCTGTGTAAACATAATATCACCAGTCTGCATAGGATCCCCTTTCCCTAAAAGCAGGATTCTCACAGACAGAAGCAGGACCCACAGATTTGCTTTTCCACCGAAAGAAAGATGCCTCTGACAAGTAGGGCCCTCTAGTCCCTTCAGGTTGACTACTTTCCACCGAAAGCAGAGATTCTTCAGACAGTCAGGACCCCTAGTCCACTCTGCCTGTCCTTTTACCCAAGTAAAAGAATCTTATCTTACTTTCCAGCCCAAAAGTAGCCGAAAGTAATGAAAGAAACTTTTAAAGAATTTGAAGACTCAGTTGAAGTCCGGAAGCCCCTTTCCTATATAAGGCAGCCTCCTCTTCTCTGTTAAGCAAGCTTTAAAAAACTTCAGACCCCTTCTAGTCTGGTTTTTTAGAGATCATTACAAACCTTCTAGTTTTGTAATCATACCTATTACTTGTAAGCCTTCTTCATGATGCAAAAGAAGTGCTGCACCTCTATCACCGCTTATTTCCACTAGACCATTAGTTCTAGTGTTGTAAGTGTTTATTTTCTTTAATTGAATATTTTGTTTTCATATCTGTTCCATATTCTTCTTTATTCCTCTTAAATTCCGCATGTCTTTTATTTGGTATCAGAGCCATTTGACGGCCTGGTGTACTTCTTCTGTAATTTCATTTGAGTCATCTAACTCATCTAGAAATCTTTATTTGTTCCCTTTTTTTAAATTCATTTGTAAGTAGAACACTCTAGTACCCAACCTTAGTCCAGTCTATCAAGAGTACGTAAGCCGCACTTATCCCGACCGTAAGTCCCGTGTGAGGCAAAGAGTGGATCGCAGGCGAGAAGTTGAGAGAAGCCAGATTAGGGGGTATGTCTAGTGTTGTCCAACTTACATATTAATTTAAAATTTGATAACAATTTAGATTTTAAAAATGAGTAGATTATTCAGATCTAATTCTAGGGCTAGTACATCTAGATCTTCAGATTATTCTATGCCACATAGAGTAAATGAGGAAGAATTAGAAATAGAAGAAACTAGAACAGACTGGAAGAAATGGAATATTCCTCCAGTTAAAGAAAAAAATATTTATAGCACAACTTGGGTTCAAAAAACCTTTAGTGAAGAACACCAAGTTAAAACTGTTGAACAAGTTCATCCTCTCAGAAAAGAAGATGAGCTTTGCGAGCTCCTCAGTAAGGAGACTCTTAAAATTCACAAGGCCAAAGGATTTAATTTTATCCACATAGGTCTTGTCCAAGTGGCCATTAAGCCTCTTATTACCCAAGGCAGGAATGCTGCTGCCTTACTAGCACTAAGAGATGCGAGGTTTCTTGATTGGGAACCAAGTGTCTTGGGAATCATGGAGACAGGACTCCACCGAGGTCCAGTCTACTTTAACTGCTTCCCAGACTTTACCCTTGACCTCCATTGTCCTAATACCCACATGGCACTAACTCTTGGTATCCGTCTCACAGGCGATATTACCAGGTTAGTACAAAATACTAGTTCCTTAGTACTTATCTATAGGATTTATTACAAGTGTATTCGTACCAATTTAAATGTACAATGCCTTGACCCAAGTCCTAAAGGAAGTACTATGTTAATTCAATCTAGTTCTGCACAGACTACATCCAGGTCCCAAAGCAGCTACTTTGGAAAGATGTGACTTTACCAGAGTCATGGACTGTACAGAATGAGAATTTTGACAAGGAATCTAGTGCCGAGTCAACAACAACTGATCTGGAGACTATTAAACAGCTCCCTGACGGATCAGTAAAAATATCATTTGACACTGCCAGATCCACTAGATCTTACAGATTCACCCCCAGGCAAGATCAGATTTCTGAAGGAAGAAAATCTGATTTCTCATCTGTTTCCCATAGAGACAGAGAGATTGCCAAAGAACTTGACCATAGGTTGAAAGGAATCGCTAATTCCTCAGACCCAGTAGCTAGACCAGTGTACACTCCCATAAGTGTCCCGTTAAAGTCTAGGTACACAGAGTTCAAACAAACAGAGAATGATGCTTTTACTCCATCACCTTCTCTGTCACCCACTGCTAGTGCTTTTGATGGAATGACAAAACCCATCAATTATACACTATCACTAGGGAAAAGAATTTTTTATGCCTGATATTTACAAATTAAAAAAGAATTTCAAAACCCCTGAGAACAAGACCTCTTAGGAAAGCTTTTGAATCTTTACCTTGTAAAACCCAGGAAACCATTAAAAAGAATGGGTTAAATTAATGTATAAATTAGAATCCGAAATTGCTTTTGAAAACTACTTAAGTAACTTCCACAAAGAAGTAAAAGTAGTAACTCA